TGCAGGACTGCTCTGATGACTAAATGAGAGCATTAGTAATGTACCCAGAAAAGTACCTAGCACACAGTAGGCACTAAATAAATTATGTATGCATTTTCTCTATGTATTTATGTATTTCTAACATATTTTAAATAACGTAGGAGTTTGTGGCTTTGAGTAAATCTTACTACATTAGTACATTTTTCAAGGTCTTGATTTAGAACTATTGTATAAATCTGCATCTAGAAGCCTTAAGTGTAGGAGGATCAGAGGTGGGGCTCTCAGAAAGAAGAAAGGGCACTTTTTTATGGCCTTCCTTATGACAGCTTCATACTGAAGCTTTCCATTGCAACTTCAGCCAGAAAAATGCTTTATTAGATTTAGACAAGATTCCTTTTGAAGAAAAAATTCATTGTTAAAATTTGTAACTTACTATGTTAAGGAATTCAAGAATGGTGTAAATCATTTAAATGTATGCTGAAGTCTGCAAAAAAGTTCTATTTATTATAGATAAATTGCCTTGTGGAGTAGATTGCTAGGACAATTGGTCACTTAAAATAGAAAGATAATTGCTTATATTTGTAAACAGGAAAACATGTTATACTAAAATGGAATACTGCAAAGTGAGTCCTGTACAAATCATATTAATGAATTTGCTGCTGGGATACTCCGCATTGAACAAGCTACAAAATTGATACCTCAGTACTATTTAATAGAAATTAAAGATAGAACTGTTTAGAAGTAAGCTCTTGACTTACTTCATCTTGATTTGTTCAAAGATTGCAAGGAGAGATCAAAGTTAAAAACACTCTGTGAAGTTTCCACAGAACATAATTTAAAATCAACGATGAAATAACGGAAAATCCAAGGTAATATCCAGTCTTCAACAGTGGTTTTTTTGAAGGACTAGCTTTACATTGCAAATTGTCAAATACTTTCAATTATAGAAAAAATAACTGCAAAATTGTATGTCAATTAGCAAAAAACAAAAATCCTGGTTAAAATATGTAGTTAATACACAGATAGGTGTGTTTGGCACAGGAAATAAAGTTAATTATAAGAATCCCTCCATAGACCTGCAAGCTGGAAAAAGGAATTCTGTGTCCCTTGGGCTCTCAAGAAGTTCCTACTCTATGTACAGGTGGCCCCAACGTAGATGTCAAACTTAAAAATTTTTCAACTTTACGTTGGTGCGAAACTGGTATGATTCAGTTAGAAAACCTATTCATTTAACCCATAATTTTCAGTAGCTCAATGTGTTTTCCACTTTCAGTACCAGTATCAAGAAAAAATACCATTGCAGATATCCTTTATTTGTAAAACCAGGCTGGGCTTTATTGCTATTCTGTCCCCAACTGTATTGCGTAAATCTAAGTGTTCTGAGCAACCTTAAGGTAGTCCTAGGCTAAGCTTACATTGTGTAGGTTAAGTGTGATTAAATTCAGTCGTCGAAGTAAGATATATCAACAATTTACAGAGGGTTTTCAGGACCATAACCTATGGTAAGTCAAAGGAGCCACTTACTTTCCTTCTAGTGACACCTTCCTTTACTTAAAAAGGGGACCTTATCTGCTTTAAAAATATCTCTGCCTAGTATTCCCATGCATGTTTCTCAAAAATATCTCATTTTTCAATCAATTTAAAAATAGTTTTGGCCTGGGCGTGGTGGGCTCACGCTAGTAATCCCAGCCCTTTGGGCGACGCGGGGAGGGTGGATTACCGTGAGTCCAGGAGTTTCGAGACAGCCCTGGACCAACATTTGAGAAAACCCGTCTCTTACCACAAAATACAAAATTAGCCGGGTGTGGTGTCGCATGGCCTGTATCCCAGCTACCTCAGGAGCCTGAGGCAGGGAGAATCACTTGAACCCAGGAGGCGAGGTTGCGTGAAGCCGAGATCACGCCATTGCAACCCAGCCTGGGCAACAAGAACGAAACTCCCATCTCAAAAAATAAATAATAAAAATTAGAATTATAGGAATAAGCTCCGTTCAAATGGACAGTGTTTCCATCCCACCTTTATGGATGGAGATCCTAGGAAGATAGGCAGTAAATCAAAAGAAGCCTGGAAATATTTGACCTTTACACAGTTCTCCAGGAAGGATTTATTACATGGTGGACTATTCCCAGTGAGGCCTAAATCAGCTTCTGCTTGGACACAATTGCAGCCAATTCCTGTCGTGAATATTTTGGGTTTTCTCTGGGCCTCTGAATTGATAGAAGATGTGAAACTTGTCATAATTTATAAGTAACTACAAAATCAACAATAAGAGAAAATCACAAACAGACACCAAGCAAACAAAAAAAATTGGTTAAAAAAAAAAAAAAAAAAAGCGCGGGAAACAGGCCAGTGGGGTTGGAAACGTAAATACTGCTTTATATAAACTACATTTCAACTGTTAGAAAGGTTTTGAACAAGAACTGAAGAAAAAAACGGCTGGGCGCGGGGCTCACATCTGGTAAATCCCAGCACTTTGAGATGGCCGAGGCCGGCTTTTGGCGTTTTTCACTAAGCTCTAGGATTTTGTCTGAGACTTATTTCTGTTGCCAACTGTTGTGTGATATAAATCTCGTAGTCTCTACTAAAAAAATACAAAATTAGCTCTGGGTGTAGTGGCACGTGCCGTGTTAGTCCCAGCTACTTGGGAGGCTGAGGCAGGATGAATGGCTTGAACCAGGGATCAGAGGTTGCAGAGAGCGGACGATCACGCCACTACAACCAAGCCTGGCGAAAGAGCGAGACCTCCGTTTCAAAAAAAAAAAAAAAAAAAAAGAAAAAGGAAAAAAATTTCCAAACCTAACATTAAAATATCGAATCTCTCATATTATGTTACATTCAAAATGACAGAAGTGTCAAGTTGATTAGAGATTGCATTGTTTTCTCATTTTCCAGTATCATTATCAATGTGAGACACTTAGTTTTAATTATGAAAATGAATTGTGAGTTTTGTTTTTGAGGCATTGCATTCAAAGCTCGTATCAACAACCATTTGTTAAACACTGATTATGATTTTAAAGGCCCATTAAAACTATTATTTGTAATCAAGTAACAGCAAAATTTATTGAGGGCTTATACATTCCACACTCCCTTCTAGGTACTTAACATGTACTGTGAACTTAATACTGACAACCACCATTAAAATTAATGGTTGGATTATTTAATCCTTATTTTTTTCAGATGATATAAATGGAGGCAGAGCAGAACTAAATTATTTGCCCAGATTTTCCCAGTTAATAAGAAATTGAGCCAGGATTTGAAGCCAGACTGGGTGCCAGAGCCTATGATTTCCATCATCACTTTCTACTTCCAACATAACACACTAAGTAATGATGATGCTACCATCTGTAATAATGATTACAGTATCAAATTCATTTAGGTAGGGTAGTTCTGCAAACAACAAATGATGTAAAAAATGGTAACTGTGCTCTAAGTAGCTTTAAATCTAAGGAGTAACAAATAGCTCTGATGAAAGACATTAATAAGTATCTTTTTTTAAATCTGAAAAAGTATTATGGCTCAGAGGAGCTCAGAAGGGCAGAGTGGGGATAGGTGAAACACTACTTACACATTTTCTGGAAATAAGGTAGCCTCTTTGGGGTCCTCTGACAGACACGCAGTCAGAAGCCCTAGGTTTAAAACCTTGATCTGGTCTTGCTCAAGTTAATTCACCTCTTTGAGCCTTTTTTGATCTATCTAGTTACTGTCAGTATTAAATGAGAGCATATGGATTTTAATCAGTACTTTTTTAGTAACAAACTGAATTTGATTAAACTAGATTAGGCATAAAAGTAGACTTAGGAAGGGTACTGAAATGAATGAAGGGAATTTTAGAAACCACAAGCGCTTTAGGGACTTTCAGAACGGCATCTGGGACGACGATTGGCTCACTTGTCCAATGCTGGAGGACTCGGATTGGTCAGGTCTAAGCCTACAGACTGAGAAGTGAGAAATGCGATTGGCAGCTCTATCACAATCATGTAGTTCCCCAAAGGGCACCCTGAAGAACAGATGCCAGAGGAGTCTAAAAGATACATCACAACCAAATTTCAAAGTGCCCATGAATTTTACATGCCATTTTACAAGTCCTAATAAAAATAACATTGACAGACACAAATGAACACTTAGGCACTGCTCTAAGCATATCACATGTAGTAAGTAATACAGTACTTGGAGGAAAGCCCAGGCTATGCACAGGACACTATTTGGATACAGTGTAGAAAGGAGTAAGAAGTAGTGAAGAGGCCTCAGGTGATGAAAAGCATTAAATGGGAGGCTAACATATTTAACTTTATTAAATCAGAGTCAATGCAGATCAAGGCACCGAAGGAGACAGGACCACAGTTCTGTATTAGGACAACCTACCTAGGTTTTTCAAGAAGAGAGAAATGGGAGGTGGGGAATTTAATTAATAAGTCATTTCAAGAGGAAGTTTAGCAAAGACTTGAATAGGTAGTAGTAGGAATAGAAAGGAAAACAAACAAAAAACAGATGTTAAGGCTTTGTAGAACTGTCAGTAAACTGAAATGGAGACGAGGAATAAGAACAGTTCCACCTAATGCATGCAGGGCTTAAAACCTAGATGATGGGTTGACAGGTGCAGCAAACCACCACAGCACATGTATACCTATGTAACAAACCTGCATGTTCTGCACATGTATCCCAGACCTTAAATTAAAAAAAAAAAAAAAAGTTCCAAATGGCTAAAAAGTTCCCCATTGAAGGAATAAATGATGATGGTACTTAGTAGAAAAAAATGGCCAAGTCAGGGATGAGAACTGGTTTAAGGGGAGAACGATGATGAACTTAGTTTTGAATATAATGAGTTAAAGCAGGCAATGGATTCTCAGAAGGGGATATCAAGAAGGCAATTCCACAAGTGGCATCACATCTCATAGCTTGGAGCAGGGAAAATTTGAGCTTCTGAAGTAGCTGAAATTGTAAAGAGCACAGAAAAAGAAGAAATGAAGATACAAGACTGATACTTAAATTCTAATCCAAAATGTACTTAGCCAATAGGTTTGTAAAATTTTAAAAATTTAAATTTATTAGGATTTATTAACACAATTACACAAAGTTCAGGATTTCATTAATGATGGTCACCAATGTGCTTCTTTGTGGCTTTTTAACCCATAATTCTCATGATTCAAATTTATTCATATTATAGTTGAATTTCATACATGGCTTCACAATGTGGATATTACAGGTCCATCAGTAAAATTAAAGAAAACATATCTTTCATGAAAGGCACATAAAGAATCTAAGCTAACACATTTAAGGAACTTCGATAACTTTGAATTTCTTTACATTACAAAGAAGAAAATCCTCCAAATGAAACAGATACGAATATAGTTTAGGTTACACACACACGCACACACACACACAATTCAACAAATATACTTCAACCCAGGGACAACATATAACTTGGAAACTACTTACCAGCAACATGTACTGAAAGACTAACTTTTTCCAAGATGAGTAAAAAAAGGGGGGAGGGGTAGGGAGTGCTGTTTACTTTGCTGAAACAAGGTCAGAGATGACACATCATGAATAATCAAAAGAAAATTATTCTATCAAAGCTCAGTATCTAGTGATATGTAACACTTATTTGAGCATAATCACTGACTTATTAAATACTAGTACTCATTTTCTAAGTGTAATTGTCCATTTCATTCTCAGAAATAATAGTATAATTGAAAAAGAAATAATATAAACTCAAGCAAGTGGAGAAATCTGAACATCTAAGGGAAAAAAGTAATTTTAACATAATGTGATAATCACATTTGAAACTAGTTATATGTATAAATTTAAATCTTGTATTATATCAGCAATAGAGTATTCAAAGATCCTTCTTGTTACCTTCCCAACGAGGAGCTATCATGTATGCTAGGTACAAGAGACGCCTCAAGGGAAATACACAAAAGCCTCACCAATGTCTCAAAATTCATTATGCCCACAGGTTTTTTTTACCCACAAAAAGGCTCTTAGGATCCCTCAAAACTTAGTTATAAACAAAAATGTAGTTATTTAAAGTGTATAAAAATGAAGATGACATCACCTTTGAGGCAATGCATTAATATCAGCCAAATATTAAAATTCAGAGTGAAAACAAGTGAATAAAAACTAAGTGTTTACAATAAGTCTAAGATAGTATATCCTCAAAAAATCTGAAATTTTAGTTTTTCAAACCAAATCTAATGTGGAATCTAATGTAAAATTAAATTATTTTATTTTCTTAAAGTAGGAAAAATCAAAATGCACACAATGTTTAAATAATTGATCCAAAGGCAGGTGTATTCATCTTAAGAACATTTCAAGAAAACACATAAAATTTAAAGAACAAATCATGTTATTAAAATAGTCTGTGCAATGTTTGTACAAATAACATTTTTATTAATACAAGTATACATATAATCAAGATAAGGGTTATGTTTCCTAATATTAATTACTATACTTAAAAATTTACAGGACATGAACATAAATAAAGCTGTTTAAAACTGGCAAACATAGTAATAGTCTGTCATTCAGTACAAGGTATTATTTATGTTATTTCCAAAGCCATCACCCTAGAATCCTAAGTTGCCACTCTAAAAACCTAAAAATAATGTCGAAAACTAAAGTCATAAATACATGTATACATACATTTGCATATTTACACTTATGCAGAAATCATCAATATACTAGAGCCCAGCTTTAACACTGTCCTTCAGTTTCACACTGCAGGACCATCTGTCACATTTAAGAAAGGTCCTTCTGTTACTTTCAGTTAAAAACACAAAACAGAACAACTTTGGTCAGGTCCCAGATGCATTTGCCTTATATTACATTCTGTGTTGCTGCAAGACTCTAGTCTACAGAGATCCATATGTAAGTACTCATTTGGTTTGAAAATGCATTTTACCATTAACTGCAAAACTTAGAAGAGACCACAATCTTTTAGATTATTTTTTATGATGACATCTGTTACAGCATCAAAAACAAACTGCACATTCTTAGTATCTGTGGCACATGTGAAGTGGGTGTATATTTCCTTTGTGTCCTTTCTTTTATTGAGGTCTTCAAACTGACATTGAATATATGCAGCTGCCTCTTCATATGTGTTTGATCCTGAGATGGAAAAAGGAAAGAAACATAATGCAGAAAGTTAAAATAACTGCTTAAAATACTGAAGTCAGTTTCATACATACAAAACTGAAGTCAGTTTCATACGGCTTCATTCATGGACTCCTTAACTGTGCTTTCCCTTCTAGAATGGGAGACACTATTTCTTCTAAATGAAAAACACTCCATGTTAATTACCTTTAATGACTGTAAGTTATCCCTAAAATTAAACAAAAAATTTCCTCTACATGGCATTCCGTGTTCATCATGATCTTTGTTCCTGCCTCAATCTCCAAATGCCAGATCTTTTATCCTCTTATCTTCTGTCCTCTACACCCCAACTCAGATGCTTGATGACGGCATGCTATTTCAGTTCTGGCTCAACGGTGGATCAAAAAATGTTGGCTGAATGCTGATTAGTATTTTTTCCTCCCTTTTCTATATATACATTAATTAGCATTCTTCACTCATTTTTCTTTATTCAAAAATTGTACCAAGGTCTACAATGATGTTTAGGAGTATGAGGTTACAAAAAAAGTGAATGACACACTCCAGCTTTCAGGTTACTGACTAAAAAAGACTCCCTCTGAGTACAAACACTCCAGAAATTGTTTGGCAATATCTAAAGATAATCACACACACACTCTGACCCCGCAATTCAGTTTCTAGATATACACTTGACAGAACTGTGTATCACTGAAGACACAGAAGAAGTGAGAATGAAAGTACTACTGCTATACTCAATAATATGAATTAATCTCATAAGTGAACTATTGAGCAAAAGCAGCTAGATGCAAAAAGATCATATACTGTATGATACAACACTGTTTGAAAAATGAATTGGTGAGGACAAAAGTCTCACCAATTAATAGTGTCTGTGGCACATGTGAAGTGGGTATGTATTTCCTTTGTGTCCGTTCTTTTATTAAGGTCTTCAGTGATTATTAGTGAGTCATCAGTGATTACTCTGTGTATGGGATGTGAGTGTGTACGTGTGTGTTGCGGGGAGGTTTTGATTGGTTAAGACTGGGAGGAAGCATGATGGCACTTTCTGGGGTCTTGAAGCTGTTTGGTTTCTTGACCTGAGTGGTGGATACTGGTATGTTCACCTTTAAAAATGCACTTATGCTGAGGGTGTGTGTGTACGTATGTATGTATATAATATACATAATGTATACAATGTAATGCTATATGTAATGCTTCAATAAAAAAATTAATCATCCAAAATTATCTGCCAGGCTTTCAAGGTCTTCTACTATCCAGCCTGCTCTGCAGTGCCATCATTCTGAGATCCTCTCCTCCACACTGGCGCTCAACCCAGGTCCATGTCATGAGGACCCAACATGCAAACTGCCACCTGTGGTACTGAAGTACTTCCTCTTCATTCTACTTTACCGGCTGAGATCTCTGCCTGCCTTCACATTTGCTCAAAATTGGCACTCCATCTAACTTTTCCTAATTAATCAAATCTAGCTAGGTTCTCTATCACTTAAAAACTTTTGTCTCCTCCTAGAAATAACTATTTCAGTTTTTGTTATACTGCTTTATAGTCTTAAATTCTTTTTCAGTGTTGAGTCTCCTAAACTAGAATGTGAACTCCTCAAGAGTAAACATCACACCCCACCAGCCCCATACTCCTTTTATATCTTACAGAATCCAGTATAATACAATGTGACAAATGCCCATAGGAATGTTGTGTAATGTGCTATGACACAGATTATGAGATTTTTATTAGGGATAAAAAGGTAATAAAGTTATCGTCTTTAAGTTTACATTTTAACTATTTTATATCACTAGAAATCACATACTTTAAAAAATCAAATTTTATTAAATCCTAAGTTTCGTTCTCCAAAATTTTAAAGCAATTAACAGCATCTTGTTGGCCCACAGAAGCTAATGCAACTGCTAAATTAAAATATATTTCAGCCAAACAGCTTACATTAAGTGCCTACCTCAATTTGCTCTATATATCCTAGGCAGCTAGCTAGATTACCCTCAAAGTACAACACATATGAATGAACATTCTTCATTCTGATTTTAAGTCTTAAGAAAAGAATGGCAAAGCAGGGACACGAGAGCAAATATGGTATTTTTTTTTACATGAGATAGAATTGTCCTGAACAAAGGTAAGCACAGGTGATAACCAGGTTCAAAAATGAAGAACTGGAGGCTGATGACACAATCAAAAAGGAAAGAGAAGAGATCTGCGTTTAAACAAGAAGAGGAGTTCTGTTTGAGCTTCGGGTGCTAAAAAACCAACCAACCAACCAAACAACAAAAAAAAACATGTATGTTCAAGCAGCTGGTAATGCAAATCTAAGGCTCCAGAGATAAATTAGGGCTGACCATAAAATTTAACCTATTGAGAATAGCTATGACTACGAAAGAATAGAGAGCTAAGATGACATGACTGCAGATGAAACTAGTAAAGTGGCAACATACAGTAAAAAGAAGAGGAGGAGAAGGATGACACATGAGCAGACAGGAGATAAATCAAGCAAGTTGCTTAGGGGCTACACAGGGTTCTTCCACAGTCATAGGAAATTGAGAGTTGCGGCTGAAGCAAGAAGCAACTGAATCAATACTTAGGGCATGCCATAGAGATCTTAAATAATAATCTTAACTCTGGAGATGTGAAAGAATTATGTAATATTCTTTTTGTGCAAAGATTCTGAAGTCAGGGATTATTAAGCAAAACACAAGCAAAAATTCCTAAACACACTGTCTACTTGGCAAGGAAAGAGCTAACAAGTATATTCTTAGTTGTTCTGAAATCCCTGTAGCTATACAATATTTATGGATTCATTTGGGGACTCTGGTACTATGAATTAATACAAAATGGCTACATCATAGAATATGATAAAAATAAACTAAAAAATATATTCAAATAAGGGAAAAAATAAGCCATCTTGACTCTGGATAACTTATTTCTAATAAGCACAAAAAAATGTTCCTGAACACAGTGATTCAGGACTATGACTTCCAAAAAGAAAGCAAAGTTTTAAAGTAAGTAACTGTGTGAAATTAGTTTGAACTGAAGTATAATTTCACAGTATGCAAAAAGAGCTATAACAATTAACATGATTATATTCACCAAAGAACCCTCCCCTTTTGGTTTCACTGAATGTTTAATTAAATGTAGCCTAGCCGTTAATGGTCGAGGAGCAGGAGGACAATGGAGGAGCAGGAGGACAATGGATTTGGGTCTGGAACTGCACTCTGGCTTCATTAAGCCTCGCTATTCTCATTTGTATGGGTAGGGATACCCGAGCACTGACATCACAGGGTTGTCTTAACATTTCCTGTAAAATGGCAGTGAATACTCATCGCACAATTTACTCAACACAAGACTCAGGAAAACTTTGTTTATAAAAAAACAAATCCTTGAGACTTTTTTTAAAAAAATAGGAAGAGTGGAGTGACGGTAAATAACTAAACTCTTCAAACTAGATTTGGAGATTACATACACCAGTGGTAGTCAAACTCCTGTTTTTTAAGGCATACTGAATGCTCTTCACTAAAATAAAACCTTACTTGATATGGAAACCAGATGAAAGCTGAGTTACTCTGCTTTAATGAAAAAGTTATAAGGTGGCGGGTGCGGGGGGCAGTAATTAGTTCTGTTCCCTCTCCCATCTCCACCTTCAACAGCAACCCAGGAGGTGCTCCAAGGAACTAAACTAAACTAAAACTAATGTTTTAGCCCAACTCCTGACTTCACAGATGGAATACTGAGACCTAGGTGAACTAACTGCCTTGTTCAAGATCAAAGAGCTAATTATGGAAAAGTCAGGACTGTACTTCAGGTCTACTTTTCTCACTCCATGGAATTTTCCACTGTAGTAAAATTAAAGCACTATTAACAGTCTCATTACCAAAGTTTAGGCTTCTTGCGAAACCTTCCCTGCCCTTCTGGAAGAGTTAGCCGCCTCAATGATCCCATCTTCATTTTCCCCCTTACAATAACGTTCATGTTCCTTTTTAGCAGCAGGATGCACTGCTATTGCTTGTTGTTTAAGTATGTCTGTCTTTGAGATTAGATGGTGGGCAGAGACATGTCTTATTTATTGTACATCACACAGTACTGATATGAAATCTGTTAACTTGGTTTAAAAACAGTATTTTAACTTGGAGTCATCACTAAACATTATCTAACAGTTTTTCCATAAAATGAATACATTATTTTCAGTAATTTCCTCCACATCTAAAGGAAATTTTTGTGCTCAACTGCAGTTTGATAAATAATATCCCTTAAAGGTCTAAGAATCACTAAGCCAAGAGATTTAAATTAACAACTGAATTCTTGCCTTAGGGGAAGTTTCAATTAGAAATATGTAACTTGACAAGTTATTCCCAGAAAAGTAAAATACCTGCATATTCTGGATAGCATATAGTGAGAGGGCTCTTCTTGATTTTTTCTTCAAAGAGATCCTTCTTGTTTAGAAAAAGTATAATGGATGTATCTGTAAACCACTTGTTGTTACATATGCTGTCAAACAACTTCATGCTTTCATGCATTCGATTCTATAACAGAAAAAAAGAAAACCAATGGTCACTAACAGCAAGGACTTTTAAGGAGTATTTTAAAAAATAATAAGTGTTGTAATAAAACAGAGTTTAGTCATTGAAAAATACATAACATATCACAAAAATACATTTCTGTCATTTCAGAACACACTTTCACTTTAGGTGAGAGAAGTGTCTAACCATCTTTCATCACTTTCTGCATCCAACTTTTACTTGCTAAGTGCCCACTATATGTCATGCTCTATGCCAGAGAACATCTTGCTACAGGACAGTATAATCTAGGATGTGAAATGTGAACATGTGAAAAGAAATGACATCGTCATAGAGTTTATTTCATCTAAGTTTCCATTAAAAGATAAACAGAGGTTTTTAAAGATTAATAAAATTAAATTGAACAAGCTAAGACCCAATTAGCCCATTACTCTAAATATTACAATAAATATAAATACTGGAAGAACACTTCCAATTCCTGTTTCTGGAACTTCTAGGATCTGTGCTCATCAAAGAGGGCACTGATACATTTTGTAGTGCTGAAATGAGAGAAACAAACATGTGGTGTTGCATTGCACTATAATTTCATAGACTTGATTTTAAAGATATAATCGTCTCTCGGTATATTCAGAGGGATTAGTACAAAGACCCCCAAAGGTACCAAAATCTGCATATACTCAAGTCCAGCAGGCGGTTCTGCGGAACCCACGTACAGGAAAAGTTGACTTTCTGCATACTCAGGTTTTGCATCCCATGAATGTGCTTGGTTGAAAAAAATTCTCATATATGTGGACCCATGCAGCTTAAACCCCTGTTGTTCAAGGGTCAACTGTACAAAACTGACATTTCTATTCCTTTTTCCCCACTTCGTAATAAAGTTATCTTAAAGTTTTACATTTCTATTTAAAAATCCTTCCCCCATATTAATGGTACATTGAAACCTATCTGAAAATTACAGGGCAGCAACAAAGTATAACATATATTAAAGATTTACTGGCCGGGTGTGGTGGCTCAGGCCTGTAATCCCAGCACTTTGGGAGGCTGAGGTGGGTGGATCACCTGAGGTCAGGAGTTTGCGACCAGCCTGGCCAATGTGGCGAAACCCCATCTCTACTAAAAATACAAAAACCAGCTGGGTGTGGTGGCACGTGCCTGTAATTCCAACTACTTAGGAGGCTGGGGCAGGAGAACTGGCTTCAAACCGGGAGGTGGAGGTTGCAGTGAGCCGAGATCATGCCACTGCACTCCATCCTGGCAACACAGCAAGACTCCATCTCAAAAAAAAAAAAAAAAAAAGGATTTACTAAACTAATAGAAGTAACAAATTAAGAAAAGGGATCTTGAACTACTATGTAAATATATTTCCATGTGCTATGTTGATATCAGATACAGAAATGCATAGTTAAGCTTACAGGCTTGAGGTGAGATTGACTCTCCATGCTTTCCTTTTCCTCAAGATCCACCTGTGCTTCTCTAGTATATTTCTCTTGTATTAGGCAAATAGAAAGGTTAGAGGAAAGACCCTGTACTTTCAAATTGTTATAGACATTAGAAAGAATTTAAGAATTTTTCTCAGAAAAATTCTTGGCAACACCTTCAGCTCTTCATGTTTCAAGCTCAACTCTTAAAGTAGTTCTACTTGCCATTTCTTCATCTTCAGCTAGAACCAGATCGTAGTCACTCAGTGCTACACAGAAGATGATCGCCGTCACTCCTTCGAAGCAATGAATCCACTTCTTCCGCTCAGATCTCTGACCTCCCACATCAAACATTCTGTTAAGAGGAGAAATGAGTTAACATCATATTAAACGTTCAAGAAGTTCTGAGAAGTTCTTTAACAAAAAAAGCTCTGAATAGTTGTGGAAATGTGTGATGAAAAGGAAGGAGAGAAGGACTTTATGGGAGGAAAACAATGTCACAAACTGGACTTCTCAAAAGGGGAAAAAATCTGCTAGTTTTTAAAAGTTTTGATTGAAGGGAGGGTATCTCTAAAACAAAAGCAAAAACAAAAGTACCCTCAAAAGACAAGACGTTAACACACGGAAGAACACTTAGAACATTAAAGCAAACAAATGAATGGACTGCACTGTGTGTAAACACTGAGAAGTCACATGAAGCAACTGGGGCATGCAGAGATCAAAGAGTAAATATTCCATTTGCCACAGTCACGGACATCGAAGGCAGAGAACAGAGACCCCTCCTCCTACTAAAACATGTTGTTTTAGCTCAGAAGTAATAAGCAAGGCTTTGATGTAAAGAAGAAGCCATTTCAGGTAAGAAAATGTAGGGCAAGCAAATAAAACTCAGATAGGGTAAAATACGTTTGCATAAAAAGTAAAATCAGGATACATTACAAAATGAGAGAACTGAACTATGACATAAATGAGTGATCCTACTGAATGGCCTCAAAATTTAGAATGGAAAAAAACTCAATTTTTATACAATATACAATAGTGAACCACTGTTGGTTACTGAACAAAGTAGTAGCAAAATCAAACAATATAAAGACAATAGTCTATTCCTTTTCTAAGATCTTCTAAAGTTAAGCAAAAGTTAAAATTTGCATAGACTACATTATACAACCTAGAAATAACCACTTATATAATGAAAACACTATGCAAACTGGTACATTTTTAAAGGCTCCATTTATCTAGATGGTGCACTAATTAAAATAGTCCCTATTTAATTCCCAGGCAAAAAGAATTTTCCCTACAGAGCAGTACTGGCCTATAAACCAAATCTGAGTACATCAACTAGTATTGTTACTTTTATGATAATTTAAGCAGCTTCATTCTTTTGGCTTAGCTGGTACCATTGTTCATTAAATTCAGATAAGTTATATAATAAAATGTTTCTACCACAAAATAAATTAAAGAGTTAAGATGTAAAATGCATAGCTGGGTAATAAAGATCAAACAAGAACAAAATAAATGATAGTAAATTAAAATGATTTAAATTGGGTTACCATTTGCAAAAATGCCCAGGAACACAATTTGAAAATAACTTTACTGAAAAGATAGCATATCTCAGTGATGACCACACTCAAGAGTTCCCAGAATTATTCTAAATGCATTTCTGCTCTCATTCATCTGAGGCTCATTTAACCTATAAAAAGCAAAGTTGAAACCATATGCTAGCAATGATAGTAATTCAACAGAATTCAAAATCCAAAATAAGACAAAGTTTATCTGAGGTTCCTGACAAACCTGTGTTTATCTTTAAGTCACCGAATAAAAACAGCAACTAAATACATCAATCTCAACCAAGAAGCCTAAATGGAGTACGATAAATGAACCTCGTGGAAGGATAATGGTGAGAGTCAACTTTACTCAATCCCAGTATTTGCTGGATGCTGAAATGACAGGTTTGAAAAACCTAGGAGGGAAGTGAAAACTATGGTCCTGAAATAAATGTTTAAGAGTGCACCTAAACAAGATGAAAAGTGAATTTTATACAGTCAGACTGCCTTAAGTACCAAATAACTGATTTAGTATTTGCCTCTGCCACTTATTACTATTTATAGAGTTCTCACCTTTACAACATTTTTCATAGGTAATAACTCATTTTATTTTTAAGCCTCTAACAGAGCAAAACTGTAATAGAATGTTAAGAAACTTAACCAAGTTTACCCAACTACTTATTAGGGGAACCGAGGTCTAGAATCTTTACTTGCTAACTCCAACTCCACACATTTTCTCCTCAGACAATATTGGTTAGAAATACAGTAGTTCCCCCTTATTCCTGGTTTCACTCTCTGCAGTTTCAGTTACCTGTGGTCAACCAAGGTCCAAAAATACAACAGTATTTTGAGAAAGTGAGACCACATTCACATACCTTTTAATTATAGTATGTTGCCATGATTGTTCTATGTTATTATTAGTTGTTAGTCTCTTACTGTGCTGAATTTATAAACTTTATCATAGGTATGTACGCCTACGAAGAAACACGGTGTATACAAGGTTCAGTACTATTAGCAGTTTCAAGCATACATGGGGGGTCTTGGAACATATCCCCTCAAATAAGGGGGGACTACTGTAAGCCATTAGCTGAACATAATTTAAGTTTGCTTTAGAACACAATCTTTAAAACAAAGTGAACAAAAACCAAAATCAGAATCTAAGGTATACTAGGTTAAAAAAAAAATTCTAAGTCCCAATCTAATAGTGAACTTCCTTGTCATTAAAATCACTTCTTAGTTTTAAGATAAAATGATGATATTCTCCGGATCAGACACACCTGATTATTTGAAATCAGAGTACTCAGTTTGTTTATTTAATATTATGGAAATAGTAGTAAGCAGACTAAAAGAAGTTAAACAATTTCAGTAAGAGATAATGACAGCACTATAAAATGTCCACTGAGGGCTTTTTTTTAAGAAAAGAATGAAAATGAAAAAAAAAAAAGCCCCTATGCAAAACCATAGCATGTATTAAAGCACAAAGCTAATGTTGCCAGATAAATTAATTATGACCTATATCTTTGTTTAAGAAAGCAGGTCAATGTTTGTTTCTTGGGGAGAAGTAGCCATGAAAATTGAAATAAAGCTTTAGTTTTCTGGAAAATTCAATAACATGAACCACCTGTAAATCAGTGACAAGTGATAGCAACAAATGTATTAAATATAAAATATTTATGGAAGCAATCAGAAGTATTGTTGCATATAATTTAACAGTGCTCACTACTTCTAACAGTGAGATTTCTTTATGAGATGAACCGATAACTATTTTTTCTCTCACTAGGAACCTTTATTCCAAGATGATTTTAGAAATTCTGCTTTATTATCATGACCATTTCAGAGCAATAAAGTTAGATGAAGCAAAGCCTAATCCGTAATTCACAGTAAAGATTTATTTAGAATGATTATGTTGAATCATATAATTTTTAGTGAAAATAAAAAAGACAAAATAATTTCAATAACGATATGGGACACTCCGTTTGCAAACCAAATGCAGACAAATTACTTTTTGGCAAACAGAATAATATAAGTGTATTGTACTTTTGCTTGTGTAATCTTTTAAAAAATTCTTTTTGGTATTGTGGGGATGGAGTTGGGTAAAAGTTAAGGAGATATATACACAGTCTTGTAAAGTTTGAATTTCTACAAAGACACCAAAAACCTCCACTAAACATAATCTTAAAAAAAAAATCACAAACTGATAACAAATGATTTATCTAACCCTTCACTGTATTTAAAAGTTGAAATTTAGAAAAACATGAAATACTAAAATTTTCCTTAAAAAAACAGACCATAAACACCTTTTCTAATCCAATCTCCTGCAGTGACAACTGGAGTGTGCTCAATTTGGGTCAACATATCTATAAAGCTCTGCAGCTGTGCGATGATAGCTACTTGATGCCCATGACTACAGCGGCAATCTTAAAATCAATCTTAACCTTGCTGGGTTAAAAACAAACAAAAATATCCCTATCTGTTAGATTTAAAAGAACAACAACAATAAAATCCCTATAAGTCTACAACTCACTTAATTCTAGCATTTTTATTATTTTCATTTCCAGGAATATTTACTAGTGAATATGTGGTGTAGGACACGCATAGGTTTTAATACTGTGTGAATAATGTGACTCTATTATAGTCATATAAATTAGTCATTGACTTCAGAAGGGCCTCCCAAAGCTATTGAACAGCTTTGTGTTTGGTGTTCCTTCAGCTGAACACTCAACTGGCACTTGGGACATGTGACATTTTAAATGAATGTGAATTATAAGAAACTAGCAGATTTTAAAAAAAGAACTTCTGCCTCTTTATTTAGCTTCAATGTACTGAAATAAAAAACACTAAGAAGGAAAAAAGGAACATCTGTATTTTTTAATGAGTATTTTTTAACATCAAGTAACACTACAGTGGTCTTAGATGTCTATGACAATACAGAAGTTTTGTTTCAGTAGAATATCCTGTGATGTTATCTTATTAATGTATATATTTTTACATAGGCTACATACTTTCTCTTTTCATGATTTTACTATTACTTTAATAGAAATGATGAATAACAGTACAGACTTAAAGGCAATTTTGTTTGAGTGAACAATGAAATGAGTAAGTGGAGCATTTTAGAAGAAGTAAGTCATGGTAACAACTAGCAGATGACCTGGAAGGGAAACAGATGAAAGTAACTGACCAGGAAGGCTGTATAATAAAACAAGACTCTGCAAATGAAAACATCATATTCAGTTGTGTTTAAGTCCAACAGTTTTCCTCATACCTTGGAAACTGTTCTTTACTGGAAAAAGAGAAAAGTAGTTCTGTAAATCTGAATATGATGTTTTACTAAACTTTCCTGAGCCTCGTTCATTATAAAATGAGGGAACTGGGAAAACATTCACTCCAAGACCCCTTGCATTTCTAAAGACTACAATTCAGTGCTCTTCTGCTCAGACCTCAGTAAGCGGATATTCAGTACACTTTAAATGTGTATTTTTTATCATGAAATAGTGCATAAGGACTACCTTCACAGGGACGGAAAGTTCCCTAGGAAGAAAACTGTTCATGAAAAAATTGTTAAGGGTGCTCTTAATATTTCCATAAATAAGCATTTATACTATCAGTAAAACTTGCTCTCTTTTTACCTAAAAATAGATGGCAACACTTTCCGAAAACACAGTAGATTAGAGCAGAATTTTCTGTTTAGAAATAAAAGCCAAAAACTATTTTGTTTGAATCATGTAAAAACTACAGGCAAAACGGAATTTGCCTGGATAGATTTTCTTAAATAAAAATATTCCACTTAGGAATGCTTTTTTTGACTTCACCCAAAAATTATTTTGTATAATCATCTGAAGAAAGTTTTTTTCCAATTGTAATTTCCGACTGTAAAAATGTTGTCAACTTTTATTATACCTTTTATTTCTAAAACAATGTGTTTTATATCTAAAATTAGAAAGCTACTCACTTAAAATGAAGATCTTTGAAAGTAAAATGGGTTTCAACAATTCCTGTAGTTTTCACTCTAGTTCTGAGAACATCTTGTTGAGTCGGGATGTAATTTGGCTGAGCTATTCTGTCCAAGTCATTCAAATAGCTGAAAAAATTAAATAAAACAACGTATTAAATATAGCCAATAAAGATCATCCAAAACAAAAATTAAAACACACTGCAATATAAGCGATAATCTGAAATCACTAAAAGTTTTAAAAATTCTGTGTAAAGATACAAACGAGTTTAAGTTTGTATCTTCTTATATAACTCCCATGGAAATAAAAATGTTTACACCTCTGCAACCACAAAGCTCTTTTAGTATGTTTTAAATATGTTCTTTATTTCTAAGGGACAGTTAGTAATTCAAAGGAAAAAGAATAACTTAAAAAAAAAAAACAGAAAGCTAGTACACGGCATGAGTTTGTTTCTTAGAATTCTTTATCACACTTTTTGGATATAGCACTGTGTTTATGATCCAGACATCACTCTTTTTTATTGAAGATTTTTAAAGTCTTAATTTTGGAGCAAGTAGTGATGAAAGCTCTGCCCAAAGGCTGAATGAGATGTTTCTTTTCAACCAGTCTTACGTTACATACAGGAAAACAGCACATACTCCTCTACGCTGCACTTTACTGCTCTCTAAATCAATACATGTTTTAGTCACTCATGTAATCCTCTCTGCCACTGGTGCTACATATGTTGTGATATAAAAATGTAGTGGTATCATACCATGCAATGTAAAAGAGTAAGTTATTTTGTGTCAAATTATACGGTATAGTTAGTAATTCACAGAAAGTATAGGTATGGAGAGATTAATGTGGATCTAGGTGATTAAAGAAGGATTCATGGATAGTGAGGGGTGTAAACAGAATAACGGGGATGGAAGAAAAGGAATGCCACTGCCCCAGGAGAAGCTGTAGATTAGTATGGAGATGAGAACAGTTGCCTGTTCTTTCTTGGAGAGTAAAGCCACTAGGTAAGCTATACAAAGCCTTACACGAGGAGTTTGGAATGAGTCCTAAGGTCAGCTGAATGTAGAGAGCATCACCGCAGTGCTTTTATTACGAGAGCTATAAGGTGACTGATAACTTAGAAATAAAAAATGTTTTAGACAGTCAAGTGTATGTATGTATGTGGTAATTATACTAGAACACATAGAGAGATGACAGCCTGAGTTACCTGTATTGTATTTACTGAAGTTAAGAGAATCTTATCACATTGGTGATAATACTCCAGTACTTTCTCTGTGCTTTTAATTCCAAATGTTCTACTTTACTGTAAGAAAATCCGACTTAACAAATCAAACAAGCCATGGCAAGATTTTACTGCCTCTTTAAAATAATGAGCTACTCTTATTTAAAATGTTCTTTGATTACTCACAGATTTCTTTGCTTAAAACTGTTACAGTTCGCCGGGCACGGTGGCTTGTGCCTGTAAACCCAGCACTTTGGGAGGCCGAGGTGGGCAGATCACGAGGTCAGGAAATCGAGACCATCCTGGTCAACATGGTGAAACCCCGTTTCTACTAAAAATGTAAAAATTAGCTGGGCGTGGTGGTGTGTGCCTGTAATCCCAGCTACTCGAGATGCTGAGGCAGGACAATCGCCTGAAGCTGGGAGGCCAAGGTTGCAGTGAGCCAAGATCATGCCACTGCACTCCAGCCTGGCGACAGAGCCAGACTCCATCTCAAAAAACCAAAAAACAAAAACAAAAACAAAACAAAACAAAAAACTGCTACAGTTCAAAAAAATCTCTAAAAATAATATTTCAATAAGACAAAGAAGAAAAGCAGGCACTGCGAAAAATTCTGATTGTTCTAAATGATTACAAATTTAAAGTGTGAATTGGTGGGGAGTCAGCCCTAATGGGCAACTTGACTGCATCTTAGCATCCCCAGTCAAGAACTCATAGATCAAGATTCCCTCTAATAACTATGGAGAAAAATGTTTCTATGACTTTCTTCATTCCTAAAAAGCAGCCACATTAGTGCCATCTTAAGGTCACGACTATTAGAATAAAATAATGTAAAACTAAAGCAACATATTTTTCATTTTATAATTTTAATTTTTTTTTCTTTTAGATATGGTCTTGCTCTGTCACACAGGCTGGAATGCAGCTGCGCAGTCATAGCTCACTACAGCCTCAACCTTCTGGGCTTGGGTGATTCTCCTGACTCAGTCTCTCAAGAAGCGAGGACTATAAGGGATGGGCCACGATGCCTGGCTAATTTTTTTGTTTTTACTTTTTGTAGAGACAAGGTCTCAGTATGTTGCTCAGGCTGGTCTGGAATTCCTGGGCTCAAGTGATCCTCTCACCTCAGCCTCCCCAAATGCTGGGATTACAAAGCGTAAGCCACCAATGCCCAGACTATGTTTTTGTTAAATCATTTTCAAGTAGTGTGCACAGGAGAGAGTACTGGACAAGAGACTGAGGGGGTCTGGAAGTTCCCACATATAGTGAGAAAGAGAACTTCAATCTGTCATTCCCAAGTAGCACCCCTTAATTACTGAAATAGCTCCTTTTGCTGGGCTCCACTCAAAGCAATCTTCCCATAATAGTGACTCCCACTTAAATCTCTGCAGATACTGGTGGTGTCAAAGCAAATATGGTTTAAGAGTTGTGTTCTTCCTATAAGTATTTTTTCTAATTTGTCTTCTAGCCTCTGTGATGCCTGGTTTATGAATTCATTCATTATTAAACAAGATCATATTGAGTGCTGACTGTGTCAGGCTGTGGGTATACATTAGGTAAAAACACATTACTGAATTTACAATGTAACGGCAGAGACAGAAAATAATCAAATATTCACAACATAAACAGAAATAAAATAACCTCAAAATAAAAGGAAAGCTGAAGAAAAAGTAAATTAGGAGTACCTAAAACTGGAGAGCAAGGACCAACTCAGTGAGTCAAGGAATATTTCTTTGTATAGGATATGATACCAGTTGGAGAGATGGGCTACATATTCAATGTGTTTATGTTATATATACATGTATAAACCACGTAATAATACAAAAGGTTAATACAAGTATAAAATGTTAAAAATAAAGATTAAGAAATACAGGGTTATAAAGATTGATGTGGGTGATACAATATTATTTCTTAAACACACTAAATCACACAACATATAGTACCTATGCTGATGTTGAACAAATAATATAATTCGCTCTTCAGGAGCCACACCTCATTTACTTATTCATTGTGGCAAAGTGTATGCATTCACCTAGACCTTTCAAAATCTGTCATCTATCTAATCCTTACTTGTGTCCCTAACAGCCAACAGCTGTGTCAAGAAAATGGAACAATCCTGGAAAGTAAAACAAATGCACAACATAGATTTTAAGAGCAATTAATGCCTAATACATATCATATAGGACTTTTTGAGTATGTGTGGTAAATTACAAATTTGTTTTTTTTTGTTTGTTTTTGGTGTTGTTCTATGGAGATCACCAAACAGAAAGCTCCCTGATTAGGTTTTTATTTTTTATTTTTTTGAGACAGGGCCTCGCTCCATCCACAGGCTGGAGTGCAGTGGTACGTTCATGGCTCACTGCAAACTCAAACTCTTGAGTTCAAGCAATCATCCTGTCTCAGCCCCACTGAGTAACTGGGACCACAGGTGTGCACCATCATGACTAGATAATTTTTGTATTTTTGTAGAGATGTGGGGGTGGGTCTCGCTAAGTTACCCAGACTGGTCTCAAACACCTGGGCTCAAGAGAGCTGCCCACCTTGGCCTCTCAAAGTGCTGGGATTACAAGCAATGAGCCACCTCACCCAGCTTCCCTGTTAGGTTTTATCACAACTTGTTTTGCAAACTTTCTGGCGCCACCACCTGAAAATTTAGGGCAGATTTTTCTTCTAAAAAACTGAACTTAAGTATCTGGAAACTGTGTCAAATACAACAGGGCACACACACAACTGACGATTTTCAAATACAGAGCTATTTTACTTACTGAAAAAATATCTTGGAGTCATTCTGCACTCTTTCAAAAAAATCCCTACTTAAAGTACCTGTCATTGAACAAGTAACTCTTCTCAGGCACTGCTAGCATAATGAAAAGAACTCAAATCAGTTACACTCTCAAGATAGCTCCAAGTAAACTTATACACCCCAATTCAGAGTGGATTCTGGAAACTTCCAATTACTTTCTTGAAAATATATTGGAAAAGGTACCATTTTGCATGTTTCAATTAGAGTTACATAGCATGAGTCTCTTGAGACACTATTGAACACACAGGAAATAACACTGCTATCTACACACACACAACACACATAAGACAGATAAAATTTTAAAATATTGTCATCTTGAATATCCTAAGTTGGCAAGTTCTGCAAATAAAGTTGGACTTTTGGAGCAGTATGATTGGACTTGCAAGTGAATTATCTTATGATAGTTTTAGTTCCTGAACTTGTGATACTTTTACTATGGCTGGCAGACATTAAGCTGGTACCTGGGATCGTGTTGAAAAGGCTTGTAGCACGACTTGCTTTCCCACAGATCTCGTTTATTAAAACTCCAGGGCAGTTTCTCTGCAGTCATTACAAGCCTTCTTTCAGCAGCCTCCAGCTAGACAAAAGGATTTGGGGATCACCTGAACCATTGCAAAAGGGACTTTCTTTTTTTAGAGTAAATAGGGTATGTTTGATATTGGATTTATGAAACACGTGACCAAACGGGAGACAATTAATAGATTTACAAAAAAACAATGGCAAAATGTAGTGGAATGTTCCTTTCTGTTTGTTTATTTAATGGTCATGTTATTTTCTTTCTCTAAAGGCACCACTTAAAAATCTTGGGTGACCAACGGAAGAACAATATACTGAGTTACAAATATAGTATGTTTGTTTGTGGTGTAGTGGGTATGTGTGCAGCACTAGGGAAGGCTGGAAGAATTAAGGCTTAACGTCCAGTATAAGGGGACCAGTGGTAACCATATTATCCACTCACCAGATTTTTTGTGTATTGGGGAAGATCGGTCCACTTTTTGGAGAACAACAGAAGAAAGAACTCTATGGTGCTTCTTCCTGTCTTCCTTCAAAATGTTTTTAACTAAGAGAAATATACAACTGTTAAACAAATATTACGAATGAGAAAATTAACTAACGGTGTGTAGCT